GGTATGGAAAATGGGTAGATGATGATTAATGCCGATCGTCTACGTGTTGCAGACTTACCTGGGTCTGCGTTACACATCCCTCTCCCTCTGATGATGCACAAGGCAGAGCAGCCACTTACAAGTGTCACGAATAGTAGCACAAAGAGTGACACCAGTTTAATTCCTAGCCCAGACCTCGTGCCCAGGGCGGTATCCATTCCGGACTCGAAAGCTGTGGAGCTTTTTTGTGATTCGGCATGCATCCATGTCATTTTTACCAGAAATTCGTATCTCACCCTCTTGTCAGAATGAGGCACCCTGCCAAAGATGTCCTTTGGTAATCAAACGTCAACACTTCCTGGAACAAAAAAAAAAAAACTGAATACTACATTTTATGTTTTCTTTAACATCTTTGTTTTGAAAAGTGCCACGGCATACGAAAAAAAACTAAATCAACGATGAAAAAACACATTCCTGTATTTCCATTTTCTTATATTAATGAGAAGAACATAAGTAAAATAGACAAATATAACACGATGTACAGACAATGGGTTGGTTTTAGGAAGAGGCAGAAAAAAGTTCTATATTTCAGGTAACAACATTATTTACATTTATTAAGTTTAGATTAACGACAAATCGGGGCTTGGCATTTATCACTTTACCGCAAATGAGTTAAGTACTAATTTATGAGCATTAAATTGTACTATGCAAAACACGGACCACGTACTGTACGTCTTCAAACATGCGGCAACACACATTATTGTAATTCAATGATCGTAATCAAGATCTTCCTTATCGCAGAATATAAACACGTAAATCCATAGTTTATGGCACAACCGCAATAGCTACGCTGAAGTTACAGGCTGACATATGCGATTGATAATTATTAAAATTATTAAAATAACGTTGCCTCCCATACGACAAACTCAGGAGCCCATGTCCTAAAAGGGATGTATCTGATAAACGGTTAAGTTGTGGTAAAGCATAGAAAAGTGAATTATATTTAACCGAAATCTATATTAAACGATTTAACACAGTTACAAATTTATATATTGTCCACGTGTATGTTCTTATACAGTTGTTGAAGTTCGATCTCGAATTCTGAATCGCATCCAACTTCTGACTATAACTTCTCGGAACATTGACGCAAAGGGTATTTCCTTCCCGTTACTACTCAAACAAGGGTGGGTATAATCCGGAAGATTATGCTCATATTTATTTGCTATTTTATTAAGTCGATTCCATTTCACATGAAAAGTTCAATAAGATACAGATAATAATATAAATATTTACTCAGTAAGCAGTTGTCTGTAAATCAACAATATGCCATTACGCGAACATATATAAACAACGTTCTACTCAAAACAACGAAAAAAAGGTCTAAAGGAATATATTGTTTAAAGTATTTAGAGGGAAATCATTACCAAAACCAAGTTAAAAGTTTTCATAGCATTCCATGTTATGGTTAGTGGGTTGAATTACCGTGTTTGTCTTCGTCCATCGAGGCACTGCGGTGATGGACCGAAAGGGCTGAGCTGACGGTTCCAACAGTGTTTCTCAATTTATGAATGCGGACGCGGCTATTCCCACAAAGAACGAGCCCTCTGCCTCCCGCAAGCGCTCCAAGCTGCGAAGGAGTTCGCGGAATCCGCCGCGCCTCGAGTGCCAGACTCAATCATAATGCATCTCTGCAAACTCGTCACCCGATTGGCGCAAAATTCCAAAATTGTAGGAGGGTTTGTAACGTGACACAAACTTCATACAATCCACCATTTTGGATTGTAAGTATTTATTATTAGCAAGTTTGCTTTATGTATGCGCTAAAATGTGCAGAGCGGAATTCCAAAGATACACACAGATAGCAAAACTACTTATATATTACTTTCCTTAGTCCGGGAAAAAATGGCATTTGACATGTTTTGTATTCATTCTTTGATAATGACGAGCACCAGTATGGAAAAAGCGTAACAGTTCATCAGTTATCTAGCTCTGGGATCCCCAGATTAACTTCCGTCCAGTGGTTGCTGAAGAAGCACATTGATATCAAGCCAAACACTAAGGGTGCACACAGGTTTGTTGGGAGTATAACATGATGCACAACTGTGGGCAACTGGTCCATGGAGGAGATTACCAGCCCATTGACAGGCCTAGTGTCTGTCAATCATGATGATGTTATACAACAACCAAACCACTTTACTACTGTACTGCCTCTGTCAACCCCTTCACCATTGTGGCTACATTGCTACAGCTCCGTCCATTACTTTCTGCGAATTACAGTAACTGTTTTCAGTCAAAACGTATTCTTCAGGTTTGTTCACATCTAGAATTATTTCTACAGAACCTCTTCACAGACACAATTTAAAATTGATAAAAATGATAAATGCAAAGAATAACTGAACAAAACTAAAATTATACTCGTCAGTTGCCTTGAAAGCAAGAAACATAAGGCCAGTAATTTTGCTTAAAGACAATTAATAGAAAAGTGCATCCAACCCAATAGATGGCTTCAAATTTCCTGCAAGAATGTTTTATTGTAGTCTGGTTCTTTTTCTTATTTTAATAGTAGCAGCAACTATATTATTCCATCTAATCATTTATTGGCAGTGGCACCTTAATGGTTAGGGAAGCGCACTTGTAATTTAAAGGCACCACTGAGTTACCCTGCATGAGCAAGGTACCGCCCCCAAGCACTGCACCCCGGGCGCTGAATTAGCTGCCCCCTGCTATGTCACGATGTCACATAAAAGTTAAATGCAGGACACATTTCGTTGTTGTGTGCTGTGGTGTGTCAATAATGACCACTGATCACTAAATTCTGTAAGTGTTAATCCAATATCCAGTGTCATGCTACATCTAGAGACTAGCTCAGGAAGCACACGTCACACAAGAGGGAATTTCCTATATGCTGTAGTCTGACAAGATACACACAGTCAAACACTAAGCACAATATAGAAAGAACAATCCAACTAAACGACATGTCCTAGTGGCAGAGATATGTATTGTGACATATAGGCCTACCAGGTAATTTATCCATGAGTTCATAAGACAAACACAGAATTACTCCCGGGATCAATAAAGTTTATCTTATTCTTTAAAAGGTGTTTTTCATTAGAACGTACTGATATTTGTAAAAGCCAAATTACTCGGCAATCGTAAGGGTTATATGATTAGCAATGTAAACCTGCCCTTCCAATAATTAAATTTGCGCAATTTATAAATGTCATGCATTATGTTACAAATACATGCATTGCAATATATATACACTAAAGGATTATTAGGAACACCTGTTCAATTTCTCATTAATGCAATTATCTAATCAACCAATCACATGGCAGTTGCTTCAATCCTGGTCCTGGTCAAGACAATCTCCTGAACTCCAAACTGAATGTCAGAATGGGAAAGAAAGGTGATTTAAGCAATTTTGAGAGTGGCATGGTTGTTGGTGCCAGATGGGCCGGTCTGAGTATTTCACAATCTGCTCAGTTACTGGGATTTTCATGCACAACCATTTCTAGGGTTTACAAAGAATGGTGTGCAAAGGGAAAAACATCCAGTATGCGG